ATATAAAGCGAGTTTTAAAAGTTGGCTTAACGAGACACGCAAAGCAAGTTAACAGCCGAGCAAAGCAGCAAATAGCCCAAATTCCGTCACTCACATTAATAAAGCAAAAGCAAGTGAAATACTAAAAAAAAAAATACTAAACGAATAACGATCCAACAATGGTATTCAGACGAAACTCTAAGCAGCACGCCAGAAAGTGAAGAATTCTAAAACTTTAATTCTTAATTATAAAGAAAAAAAAAGAAAACAGTTTTAACAAAATGAAAAAAAAAAAAAAACAAAATTGGGGGTTAATTTTGTTTTAAATGGTTTTTGTTAACAGAAAAGAAAGAAAAAATTTGGACGCAAAACTCAAGTCAGCAGCAGCAAATACAACGGAATGAATTGGAAATGAAACAGTAACAAAGGAAAACAGTAAAACAAAGAAGAAGAAGAATAACGTAAATAACTGGACAAGGTCAAAGTTAGAACAGGTTAGAACAGGTTAGAACAGTACCAAACCGAACCGAACCGAACAGAACAGAACCGTTATAAACTACTCGGATACGACACAACTGTACTAAAATGCACACAAACTGAAATATTGAAACGTATGGCATGAAACATGCACATAAACAACCGTTGCCCACACAGGCAACAACAACAAGAACAACAATATGACTATTCAAACTTTTAAATATGAAATGAAATGCAAGTGAAATAACTATGAAATACTATTATACATATATATATTTTTAGCATATAAGAGCATACACAAGCGAAACGTTGAAAAAAAAACACATACGAAAAAAATATACCCTACATAACTGAAAACCAATTTTGTCAGCCGTAAGCTTCTACATGTACTAAAAAAAATTAATGAAATATGGCAAAGAAAAAAACTAAAAAAAAACCAAAAAAAAAACAATTCACATGCATACTATATATAGATATGATTATATATTGTACACACGTATACATATATACACACATATATGAGGCGAGCCCCAAGCTAAAATCTCTAAAAAAAAAAAAAAAAAAAAAAACAAAAACTTGAAAAAAAGATTGTATAAAAAAAAAAAACTCAATCGAAACCGAAAGAAAGAAAAAAAAACAAATAATTTGGCATGCTTTTTTTTTAACTTTTTGTGTAACTTCCATTTAAACAATTGGCTCTAAAATAGGCTTATTTAATATTTAGCAACAGCGCAGCACCAAACTCTAGAGTGCATCGAAACAAAAGTTTACGAAAACAAAAACAAAAAAAAAAAAAAAAAGAAATGGAAAATCGTCGGAAAAACCAGATTATGATTTACATTTTTGTGTTTCGCTTATATTTTCCCTTTGTATATTTCGCATTTTTTGAACACATTTCTATATAATGTATTTATATTGTGTTTTACTATTAAATTTTTTATTTTTTATTTGTAATAAATTCATGCGGTAATCAACTGGAGACTGAGCTACAACATATATTTAGTTACCGTTATGTTTATTGCATTTAAAAAAAAAAAAAGAAATAAACTATAAATAAAAGGCGATTGGCCAATTAGTTTGAGCATCAAAATATCCCGCATACAAACACACACACACACACAAAACCTACATACAATTTATATACTTGCATATATATATATATATATATATATAAAACATGCAACATGATAATTATATATATTTGTATAAATGTGTATATATATGCAGAATTTTCATAAAATAATTACAAATTAATTGGTTTGCTCTATTCGTCTATATATATATATTATTTTGTTTGTGTTTAATGCAAATGAATTAATTAAATACGCCATTTTGTTGTGCATTTCACCGCATCCCCAAAAATAAATACAAAAAAAACAAGCAAAAAATTAAGAAACAAATCCTGCGAACGGTTTGCCTGTGTGATAGTAGTTTATAATTAAAGCTGTTCGCTGGATCTTCCACCCATTCATAAACCCAAACATTATATAGCATTTAAATGGCGAGATATGTGCAGAACCATAAATACAGCAACAAAATATAACTATATATATATACATCTATATATATATATATATATATATATATATATATATATATATATATATATATGCAAATATAAAAAAAATACAAGTAACTTGAGGAGAAAAAAAAAACGCAAAAACATAAAAATAATAACACTACAATATTTTTATTTTTACTTTAATTATTTTTAAAGTACCTATCTATAGTTAAACGTTTTTTTTTCGTCGTCTACATATTATTTGTTAAGTTCATTAATCTACATAAATAATCTACACTAATGTAGACGACATAATGTATCTACATTGTACATTATATCTACATTATAGAGCTAAATATCTATAAATATTTTAAATATAACAAAACAAACACACAAAAAAAACAGTAAAATATTATTAAAAAAAACCAAAAAAAAAAAAAAAAAAAAAACAGCTCCCAACTTTTTTATTTGAATATTGTTTACTTTTTCGTTAGTTGTGGTTCAGGTTTTGGGTTTTTCTTCTTTTTGATTTCAATTTCGATGAACGTTTTCCGTTTGTAGCTGTCTCGAAGTTTTCCGGCGTGTTCCATTCCGTTCGTTTTCAGCTCGTCGAACAACCGACCGACCTCCAAAAACAAAATGATGCCAACAAAATGTGTGTTGAGGGCCAAACGCTGTCAATATGATGCATATATAATGCATATATGTATGTATGTGCCCGTATATATCTAATTATATGTGTGTACTGCTGTTCCATAAAACCCAAATTCAAGTCCTCTACCTAAAGCAAACTTGTCTAAAATATTATGAATTTAATACATGTGTAGTATGTGTATCTGCAAAGGCAAAAACTTAAAATTAAACAAAAAAACAAACGCAAAAACACAGAAAACACACAACCAAATGAAAACGAAACAAAACAAAAAGATATAAACTAAAACAAAATGCGTGTAAGTACATTTATATAGACATTTATACGATACATACTATACTAACTAAACTACAAAAAAAAAAAACGAAATTAAAAAACTACAAAAACCAAAAAAAAAAAGAAAGAAAAAAAATTAAATGAATTAACTACCTCAGCTTTGAATATTTCTATAGAAATGTTATTAAATGTATTTGAATGGCAAAAATGAAAAACAAACCCGTAAAGGCATACAAGTTTTAGAGCTGCATTTATATACATACATACTGGTAACAATACTATTTATACTAAGTGTACGTTTTGCATATTCCTATATAGCTAAATAAACATAAAGGCAAAATGGGTCACTAAGCGAATACAAAATTCATGTATGAAGCAAATCAAAGAAAACCAACAAGGAATTCATATACTAAACATACATATACATATATATTGAAATTTAGAAAAACAAAAAACAAATAACAATAATTTTGCGTCCATTTTTGTTGTTTCCTATACAAAGAAAAATTCTATAAATGAAAAAAAAAAAAACAAAAACAAAAACAAACAAATCATATTTAATTACATATATAATTGTTTTAATTGTGAACGTAACCAAACTGCAAGTAAAGCCAGATCAAATGTTTTATGGATGATATACATACATATACATAACTACGTCTCTATTACTAACATATATCCACTCAATTGATGTTTGCAACTGTCATTTAAATCAGACGAAAACTAATAGGGAAAATAAACATAAACACGCAAAAATAATGATAATAATAATAATGAAAAAAACACTTAACCCATAAGAAAGCTTTCTCGGTGTCAGTTGTGTCATAGTTTAGATTCAAAGCAAACTAAATATTAACATATATTAATAATGAAATTAATCGTTTATTTGCAAGATTTGCACGAATGTGCGAATGTGTGTGTCCAAGAAACATTTTCTGACCAGTCCCAAAGGTCTGCGTCTGCTTATAGTTATGACAAATACAAAAGAATTGTACATTTCTGTGTATTTCGTCAACTAAACATTTTTCCCTTTTCGGTGTGTAATTGATTGTTAAACACTAACACAAATTGTGAAAATCCAACCCAATAACATACAAAACAACAACATTTAACCTAACTACCTATGTACATACCTACATACATATATAAATTCAAGCATATGAATAAACTAAAAAATGTACACCCACGATTACACGACATCCCAACATCAATCTAGAGGCAAACCCTGCTAAAATGTTGAAAAAACAAAACAAATTTAAACATAAAGTAAAATTTTTGTGTACATGTGAAAAAAAAAACAAAAAACGAAAAGAAATTCACTCAATAAATGAATTTTTCGTATACACATCCTCAAATGCATTTTTCAAACATGGTGCCATCTAAGGCCAAATTATCGATTAGTTATCGGTTATCAATGAATTTGACTATTCACATTGGCTGAAGCATGCGATGCATTGCGGCACCTTGCAGCACTGCCATGCTTGCCTCACAATCGTGCGAAACGACATTCTCTTTCTTGCGTCGATTCAACATTGAACTGTAACAAGAAATATAGCTAGTGGTGGCACACATGAAAAAATCAAGGCTGGCAATTTCGCAATAACCGAATGCTATTCAGCCCTGGTTCTTTTTGGACCGCCACTAATTCAAACATAGTTGGCATGCTTGCGCATAGGCATTTGTATACGCGCAAATATTGTTACGCTTAAGCTATCGTGAACTTGTATATTCGATAGTTCTTGGTGCTGTGCAGCCAACATTTTGCGATATGCGGTCACCCTGTGCAGTATGAAAGAAATTCTTATCGATTAACAGAACCATCGATGACCACATTAATCGTCCCAAAGAAAAAGCATAAAAGCATAAATGTATTTACAGTTAACAAACAGAAACAACTATAACAGCAACATAAGGTGTAGTGCCTTCAATTTAGCGCAACCAGAAGTGCCAATAAAAACAACAGCAATCTGTAAGCTGAACTAATTAAAGAATTCACTTCGATATTAATTGCGCGCGCTGTAAACTTTATGTTCCAATGCATTTACATATCTTTAAATGCAGAAGGAAGCGTCGCGGTCTGTCGGCTTATAAGCATGTGCGCGTGTGTGTGTTCTGTGTGGTGTATGTGCTTGGCTGTGCGTGAGTGTGTGTGTGTGTTATACCAAACAAAAATTGGCATACTAACACTGCCATAGCGACGCTTAACAAATTAAATTAGAAGCTTTGCAGTGTAAACACTTCTGACGCACATAGGACTGGGAATATGTCCAGCTTTGTCTGTCTAATCCCCATTCAAAAACAGTACGAACAACACAACTAGGCCCGTCCCGCCCGCTGCCTATTGGGCTATTTATAGACTGATTAGCATGCTCTGCTTTAGAAATTAATTGAAATTGGGGTGGCTGCTAGTGGGGGCGTTCGTTGCCGGGCAAGACGGCATCGACAGCCAAAAGGCATTACATCTGCAATATAGTGTAAGTGTATGTGTGTGTGTGTGTTTCTATGCATAATTCATAATAAGCATGACGAACTACAGAAAACAACTGTTGCCCCGTCGTTGTTACTGTTCCGCAAACAGAAAGAGGGCGACAGAGATTGAGAGAGAGAGAGAAAGAGAGAGGTGGGGCTGTGGGTGGTCACATACCTAACAACATTCAAGCTGTAACAGCGGGCGGCGCTGTCACGGGCACATGCTGACCTTGGAGCAAGTGGCGACTTTGTGTGTCTGGTTTATATAAATGTACATCAATGCATTAAAAAAAAATCTCTGGTCGATACAAGGCTTCCGTTGCCCCGTCGAGTGATTGGACTTTGAGCCAATATTAAGTCCCAGAGCGTGTCGTGTCTCTCTAGCTGACTTGATAAGACGACGACAACGGTAATTGAATGAAATGCATAATATATACATGCAATGTACATAGGAGCAGTGCCCAGCACATATGTGCATATAACCTTTTAAAAGGCACTATTAAACTGCTCTGGAAATATATATGTACTTAAGCGAAATATATATGTATATTGGCGGGCTTTAAAGCGGGCCTGTTCGGGGCAAGTTTGTGTCACTGCCCTATACTTCGATTATGGCAATTTTTATTCAAATAGAAATTCCAAAATCCTAGTTAAACCATATATAAATAGATTTCAAATAATCTTGAATTGCCCTCTGGAAAAGAAAGACTTGGTAAGGTAAATGTATATGTTAGTAAATCATAAATACCAGAGATACGAATAGGTTATAAGCTTAAATCTTTTACTAATTTGAACAACGGCAAGTTCAGCTAAATATGATCCGTTCGAACAGATCAAACGCGTTCGCATTTGTGCCGCCCACTTGTACACAAATCAATTAGCCAGTTAGACAAGGAAAGGTAGACACCAGTTGAAGAATATACCTATCAAATTCTGTCCAGCTAATCCGCAATCAACTCGACACCGTCGCTTGTTTGTCGCGACATGTTTGATAAGGCGAGCAATCAAAACAATCAAGCTATAAACATAAAAGAACAATGCAACTCGCTATCACTGGGCTATCATAAAAGGGATTGGGTTTGGCTACTTTATCAGCGTCTGCTGTCAATCACTCGAGCTACTAATAAATTTATCAATGTATATCATATATGCATGGAGTAATATTTAATAATAATGGCTGGTGATGGCCTTTCACAGTGTAGCGAGCGGGGGCCGGCTGAAGAGCGAGCTGTGGGAGCGGACGATGAACAATCTTGTGCAGGATATACAAAACAAATACTCATTTCTGGACAATCTATTCAGTCACGTATGGAAATGCATTATCCGATCGAATTTAAAGCTAAAGCTACAATTGCGCAGTATTCAATGGAAGAATGCAAAAGCCAAGCCCGGCTGTGCCTACCAGCCCACAGAGGTAAGTAATATCATATACGCACATGTTATATACATAGTTATTAATATCAACTCCTTTACAAAGATCGAGCAGGTGGCTAACGTTATAACTCATGGTATTTGGATAGTACCCGCCGTGTTTGCAGTCATAAAGCTCTTCGAGCGCTCGAACAGCTCTAGCCAGTATCTGGTGTCCTGGGTCTATGGCACCACGCTCTGTATGCTGTTCACAGTTTCCACATTTTTTCACTGCTCTTGTTACTGCGCCGAACACAAGTGAGTCTACAATATGTAGTTGCATATGCTGGCTACAGCGTTATCTCTTTTTAGGCCCCCCAAAAACTATGATGCTTGGCCCGCATTTGGCTGGAAAACGTATCAGAGTCTCAAAAATGTATTGCATCGATGCGATCGTGCCATGATTTATGTTTTTATTGCCGGCTCATATTTTCCCTGGCTGACGCTAGAGAATACGGACCATTCGGCGATACTGTTTTGCATGGAATGGATTATTTGGCTTATGGCGGCCATTGGGATTGCTTATCAACAGGTAAACTTGTTGCTGCGTGTGCCTATCTCATTCATCGTCATTTGAATTAATTACAGCTTTACCACGAACGCTACAAATGCCTGGAGACATTCTTTTATATTGTAATGGGTCTGGGACCAGCGGTAGTTGTAATGCTTACCGGACACCATTTTAATGGCATGATGCAGCTCAAATTTGGCGGTGCCTTCTATATATTGGGCATTATCTTTTTTAAGTCAGATGGTTTGATTCCCATGGCGCACGCCATTTGGCATCTCTTTGTGGTGCTCGCCGCCGGCTGTCATTATTATGCGATTTTAGTAAACTTGTATCCAAATGACTCCAATCATTTACAAATTAGTAACTAAGTATAGCCCAAGTCGTCGTGAAGCTTATGACTGTAAGAACATTATCGTTTAACGTACTTAACTGAGCCGCGGATTCATCAATTGATAATTGTGACCCACAGAAATTTAAGTTAGTGATTTTCAGTTTTTTTATTTTTTATTGTAAATTTTGAGCCAGCCAGAATGTATTCCTTCCTACCTACCACCCATATATATCACTGCTCCAGAATTAGCCAAATTTTGTACAAAGTATATAGATTTATTTATTTTTATGCTTTACTTGAGTTCATCAAACGGATTTATGTACGATAGTTGTAGTTGTAGAATATTAGACAATTTGTTAGAATAAGGCAACGGATTCTTAAGATAATCGGTAAAAGAAAACGTTTCTTGTGATCAATATCTGCGGTCTTGCCAACGATTCAAACGGAAGGTATGAATTCTCAATTCGTGTGCAAATGATCATGGTAAATGCGGTGTATAGTGCGATCCTTATTTTAGGTAGACCAAGCAGGTATATACATATATATTTTCTGTAACCAATATAGAATATTTTATAATACGATACGCTATACTAACGTATGACAAGCTCACTGTAGGCAACGTGTTTCTTAAAGACTAAAAAATTGTACAAAATCGAATAGTAGAGCATGTCGATTAAATTCAACGCCTTTCAAAATACTGGAAGCCCGCCTAAAACAACATATACACACATAGGTATTGGAATATGTATGTAAACATATATATGATTAGATATAAGACATAAGCTAATCACGAACCAATGTTTGATGTATTGGTGTTGGTCAGTTATTTAGCGTGTTACGTGTGCTATTGCTCAGGGATTACTTACTTGGTGCGGTCAGTCGTGATGTATAATGTATTATGTACGTGTTAGCAATGGATTGGTTCGTGATTATTGCACTTAACTTGTATACAATTGTTTTTGGATGCTTTGCGAATTTCGAAATGGATTATACAATGAATTATTGCTAAGCAGAACTTATGCAATGTAAGAGTATGAAATGAATTATACATTCATAAAAATACTTAAAAACATATACCATCTATACAAATGCTATATATATACATATATATATGTATGTATAAATGAATACCTATGAATCTATACAATAAATAATATATACCGGGTACTCAGGTCTATTAACTGAATTAACTATCTAACCTCATACAAATATTAAATATTTTGAAAAAGTTCTGCAAATAATTATATTATGTCGTGGAAAATAAGCTATACATTCAAAAAGTGCGCTATAGGCGAGAATGAATTTGCAGTGCTGTAAAGTGCGCATTTATAAAAGCCTGCGAACGCCGATACTATAGTACGGCTACTATCGATAAGAGAAAAGTGTATTGGAGTTGACCGGCATGTAATATCTTAAAGTATTAATTTCCGATTTAAGTAGTAAACTAAGTGATGTTCATATGATTAAGTATAAATTTTGAAATATAATATATATTAAGGGCTTACGCAAAAAAAGTAACTGCTTGTCAAATGTAATACTTCACTAACATTACATTTTAAGAAACTTCAATTCGAACAGAGTTTTGAGAGATAAAAACTGTTTTCAACAAACATTTTTAATTCAGCTCATAGCCAATGAAAATTGTGCCAAAATCGTACTTTGGTAAAACATCAAAACTGGCTCCCACTATCGATATATCGATATGTTACTGCCACTCTTGAAAGCAAATGAACAGTTTTATTTAATGGACAAGGAGAGAAAAGCATATGATGTGCTTCTACAAACAATAAACAGTCGAGCGCGCGGCTCTACTTCAGCGGAGCAAGGACTTTACCAGCGCCAACTGCAGTTCCTGCGCGACTTTGAAATACAGACGCCTGCAGGACCATATGGCGCAAACACAGCGGCCCAGCTTGCACATCTGCTGACAGAGGAGACTCTGGTGAGTAGTGGGCTTGGCGATGACTCATTGAACCTGACCGCATGGCTGCTCTGGCTAAACGAGCTGCTCTTGAGCCGAAAACAGCAGCTTGGCGAGACGCAGCCGATGCTCGAGTGGCTCTTGCAGCATGTGGAACACAAATGCACGGTTGATGCACTGCGCTGCCTGCTTTCGCTGCTGGAGTCGCTGCCAGTGGATACAGCGTCCACGTCCTTTTCACGTTTGGTAGCAATTCAGACGCCGTCCAGCGTGGAAGCAGCGCTGCTGTTGGTGCTGTGCCAGGATAAGCTGTTCAGCACGTTGTGTACTCCAAATGCGGAACTGCACGTCCACGAATTGCAGCAGAGCAGCCAGTTGGCCAACTCATTGCTGCAAATGCACTACGATGGGCGCTGGACAAGGATGACAGCCACCGAAACGCATCAGCAGGAGGAGCAGCTAACGATGCTGGTGGTGCACTCGCTGCAGCTGCTGCAAAAGATATCGGCACAGCATGCGGACTATGCACAGCAGCATGCGCCGGAGCTGCTCGGCATGGCTCTAGCGAATGTGCGATGCAGAACCGATGGAGAAACAGTGAAGGCAATATACCAATTGCCACATCGGGTTCATCCTGCCCAACAATCAGCAGTCTATGGGCCGGACGATGAGGATTTGACAACTGGCAGCAATCAAAACACAGCTGCAGCCGGTAGACGTGTCAAGTCCCGCAAGATGCGCTCACTGACCAAGCAGCGAAACAATGGCAATATACAGGAAAGCCCTGGCACAACTGGCCCCGGCGATCGGATGCATCTGCTGCTGCTGGGCAACAACGACTACGGCTGTCGAACACCGAGTGGCGGTGACTCTGAGGGCGGATGCACTCCCACTTCGGACGGCGCTGGGCAACAGTTGGCGGGACAGAAGCAGCAGCGCCAATGCCAAGTTAAGGTACGCGTCGCAGCCCTTCAACTGTTGGGCGCAGTCACCAAACAACTGCCTCGGCGCACTCTCTATGGCTACTGGCATGTGCTCTTTCCCAGCGGAAGCGGTGGTGCTGCTGCTGGCAGACGCGAGACAAAGGATCACTTGCTGTATATTGGCGCCAATGATGGCAATGTGCGTTGCCGAGCCCTGGCGCTGCAGTTAGCTGCTCAGCTTCTGTACGGCTCCAAGCCGTATCTAAGCCAAGCGAGCTGCGCTTTGGCGCCAAGCAACTACACACCATTTGCAATGAGCCTGGCCAGCAGCGTGCTGGAAGCGTATCGTCAACTGACGGGCATACTGGAGCGCGAGTATGCGCCGCCGGTGCTGACGCAGTGCCTTAAGTGTCTGGCGGTGCTGGTGCAGGCGACGCCTTTCGAGCAACTGCAAATGGGCATCGTCTATGAGTTTGTGCCGCACGTGAAAATGTTAACGCGGCATGTGGATACCAGCGTAAAGGTGTCTGCGCTGCTGGTCATGGAAATGCTGGTGGCAACGCCACGCCTTACACGGGAGATGGCCTGTGCCGTAGGTCTTCCGCCAAACGAACGTCGGGCTGTCAACATGGTTCATGCGTCGCCGCGCCTCAATGCCCACCAGGATCCGGAGCAACAATTCCAACAGCTCTGTGACTCCGAAGAGGAGGAGGGAGAGGAGACGGAGGCGATGTCGGAAGCGGCGGCTGTGCCATCAGCAGAGCAACAGGTGCAGCTACCCTCCAATGTGTTGCCTTGGACTCGCATTCCGCGCAACTCGTGGCTGTTGCGTTTGGTCCTGCGCTATCTGGACTGCCCGTCGAGCGCGGCGCCGCTGCGTGTCGAGTGCCTTCAGGTGCTCCTGGCCATGGCCACGCATTTTGGGCTCTTACGTGAACATCTTGGGCGCCTAGCTGACGTGCTTTGCTGCGCCTTGCAGGATTCCTCTTGGGATGTACGTTTGTATGGAGCACGCTGCCTCGACGCGATCGGTTTCCAGATGACTCGTCATGCAATGGAGCAATCAGACCCCAGGCCCGAACTACAGCAGCAGCATTTGAATTTCTGGCTACGCATGCTGCCTGCCATTTATGGCGCCTACACGGATGCAGGGGAGGCGACATTGCGCAGCTCGCTATGCGATGCACTGTCCAACATGGGCGGCAACAGTTTCGAACGCTTGCCGCAGGCGCAGCGCACCGGTCTGCTGGCGTTTCTTTTGGGCTGCAGCAGCGACGACGCCGCGGATCATCTGGTGCGAGCAGCGGCCGTGCGAGCGCTCGCTGTTTATGTGCTGCATCCCACGCTGCGGGACGATCTAGTGTTTGTGGAGCATGCAGCTGAGCTGGCGTTGCGTCTCATCGGCGACAGTCAACTGGCTGTACGAATCAAGGCCGCGTGGGCGCTGGGCAATATCAGTGATGCGCTTGTGGCGCCCAGCCATGCAGTTTCGGATCCGGAACGACAGGAGACGCAAGAGAAGGAGCGCATTTCGCAGGCTCTGCTTGGGCGACTGATCGAAGCCGCTGTCGGGGCGTGCGGGGACCATGACAAGGTGCGCGCCAATGGAGTCCGCGCTCTAGGCAATTTACTGCGTCTGCTGCCTGGCGATGAGCATGCACTGATGCAGCGGGCGATGGCCAAGCTGCTGGACTGTGTGCGCGCCGCGGGCAGCGCCAAAGTCAAGTGGAACGCCTGCTATGCCATTGGGAATTTGGTGCGCAATCGTGCAGTATTCTCGACTAGTGCCAGCTTGGCGGGCACACTTTTTGCGGCACTCAGTCAGCTGATTGTGCAGCACTCGAACTTCAAGGTCCGCATCAATGCCACCGCCGTTCTGCTGCAGATCGAGCAGCGCGCAGACATCGGTGTCCACTATGCAACCATGTGGCGCTCGCTGCTGGCGGCCATCGAACGCTCCAATGCTCTGGACACTTTCGAGGAGTACAACCATCGTGACGGACTGCAGCAGCAGCTCTGCCTGGCCCTGGCACATATGCTGGGGCGTGCGCGTCCCGATGATCTGTTGTCCTGCCGTGACGCACTTGAAACACATCTGGATGTAGTCAGCGGCACCTGGCGTCGCGTTGCATATCGCATTGTCCCCGAGCAGGCGGCACCGCTGTTCACCTGCGGTTCCTTGCTGCAGCAACGCCTTGGTGCCCATCCGCTCACCGCCGAGCAGCGAAGCGCACTCACATTCCTCGCCGGTGCACTGCGTCTGGAGAGTTAACCTTGCTGCCAACAAGGTGTGTTGCAAACTAATGCTATTTTATAACATTTATAACACAATTATTCAGCTGTGTGAACGACTTTCGACTTATTTATTGCTCCAACTACGATTGAACCTCGCGTATATACAATGTAATTTTTCTATCGCTGATTTTAGTATGTCTGTACATTTGGTCAAATCCTGGAAATCCTTGAGTGTCAGTCGATAGTCTGCTTCTGTCTATTCAGATCCTCAAGGATATGACCGATTTCCGAATGTGCTTTTTAGAAGCAGGACTATCGATTGGCATTCAAGGATTTCCAGGGGTAAGTCGGAAAAAATGGCCAAAAACCACAAAATCCGGATTTACTTGGCCATTTTAAGGACTATCGGGATGTCTTCTGGCCAACCGAATGTACTTGTGACTCTGATTTGGAATATAGATAAAAAGGACGAAAGTCCTTCAAACAGCTGAGAAAATGTGTAAACTTTGCATATAAAAAGTCCTCGATTCTTATATTACCCCATATTATTAAAATGTAGTTCGATGCAGTTGGTCCCTACGATTCTAATCCATCAAGTCCTTTGAAAATCTGCAAGGATTTGGCCGAGTTATGACTATTTTTCTGAAAAGGACACTCGTTTTTTTATCATATCTCCGCCATATACTTTAGCATCTCGGAGGGTCACACCTTTTTGAACTCGCAGGAAGCACGATCAGCGATTGGCATTCAAGGAATTCCAGGATTCGACAAAAAATTTCACCTATAAATTGTACAGGGGGTTAGTCGCAAAATGGTCACAATCCAGGCTAACTTTGCCATTTGAGGGACTATCGGGATGTCCTTTGGTCAGCAGATAGTCCTCACTCTCACATTCAAGAATTTACAACCAGACAAAAAAGTTTTAAGGACACTTTGGTCTACAGAAAATAGGCCACAACTCTGTAATATCCCGGCGTATCCTTGCGAGTCATGTGTCAACAAAATTGTATTGACCAGGAGTACCTACTGGCAAAATTGCATTAGGATCATCCTTGTAGTTTTTGAGATATTATTAATTTTGTGTATTTAGCACATTTCCGTGCGCTCCGCGAACGAAATTTTTCAAGTCAAATTACAAGTCCTATGATTCTTAGATGACCCCATATTTTTTTGATGCAGATCGATGCAGTGGGTCTTTACCATTCTAACGCACCAAGTCTTTTCAAAACCTGCAAGGATATGACCAAAATATGACTTATTTTCATTACATATATATATTTTTGCTTTGTTAAATTCAAATGTGTTTTATATTTTTTCAGGCCGACAAATCAAGGACTGCAATGAATCCTAAGGACCTCTACGAGTTACAAGCAACCAGGGTCGCCCTTTAATTAAGCCAGATATAGCCATTTTAAGCCCAAATAAGCTATATTTATAAAGCATCCTCGTTTTGTATAATTTCAAAAGAAAATAATATAAAAAGAAACAATTTTGTAAATTAAAACATAATAAATCACTTATAAAATGAAAAACAATCTCCTGTTTTTTTTTTTTTTTTCAAATTAAAATTCAACCGCGGACTGCCGAAATTTTTCTAAAAATCTGCTATAATACCAGGCGAACAGAAATGGCCAGAAGGTCGCCAAAACGTTTTTTGGTGGACTAAAAATTTGCATTGCATACCCGAAAGGGGCGGCGTCGCCGGCGGCTGGGTCCCCAATTTGTACTAAAATTTCACTCAAATACCAGGCGAACAGAAATGACCAGAAGGTCGACCAGATCTTCGAATGAAAATTTTCATTGCATACCCGCACGGGTAAAAATGTAACTCATTTCAAATGAGTACTGTTAAGTAACAGGCCATGTAAAAGGAGTGCTGTAAAGTCGGCTGTTAAGCGGCAACTAACGTACAAGGGCTGCTGAAAGAAAAACATGCATGTTTTTGGACCATTTCAATGCACATTTTGCAGGGTTCAGATCCTTTAGGTTCACAAGGACTATATCGATGGTATGGTGTAACCAAGGATATGGTAGTCAACTAGGAACCATCCAGGGGACGGAGGTGCTAGCATAGATATTATTGAACCATGGTCATGCGCATTTTGCAAGAAATTGGTCCTTGGACTATATTCATGGTATGGAATAACCAAGGATATATAGGTCATCTAGGTACCAACAATAGCGATTGTTTCGTTGATCCGTCCATGGGCGTGGCGGAGTAGGCTGAAAATATATTATGAAAAATGTATAAGTTTTTAAAAACTAAAATATAAGTGTTAAATTAAGAAATTTAAGATTCTTGATAAATTTTTGATTTTAGAATCAATCCAGAATTTGGCAAAAAGTTTCAATATCTTTTAATAAAAATAAAAAAATCCCTTAAAATTAACAGAAATCTACCGCCGCCCAGATTGGCAGCAAGTTTAATGTAACCATTGCCATTCTGATCAAAATTTCGGATTCGCGAGTCTTTAAAATCGACCGAACTCAAAAGCATTTTTGGTCAAACTTTACTCGTATATACATACTTACGTATATATTATCTGTGATGGCATACGAGTATGAAAACGTATGCCATTACAGATACGGACGGTATTAACCCAAGAACTAACACTTATAATATTTTTAATGAGCTTCACACGACTGAAGACGTTCAACTAAAACAGAATTATGTTGCGCGGGCGTAAAGTGGTCAAAAATCGGCGCACAGCAAATTGAACAAGCAAACCATAAACTCGAGTGAGCGCCATTCAAAGGTAGATAACGCATAGGCAGGCACTCACAAACATACATATGTAGTTATGTCTCGCTGCATAACAAGCTGCCATATTGACCAATGGACCACATTAACCCAGAATAAAGCTGCGCAGATCCAAAGCGCTCAGAAAATAGAGCACGCAATGTCCAGAAGAGAACTTCAATGCAAGCAATCATTGATCGTGAGTGCATGAGCATAAGTAGATAATGGCAAGCGAACATACACTCAAACGGATGACTGCTTGGTTATCTCTGGATTTGGCGCATCCCTGCGTGGATGTGGGTGTGGGTGTGTATGCAGGTCAATGTCACTCTTCACACTCTCACTCGAATTTTGATCGGTTGCTTGTTTGCTGTGCGCCGGTTTTTTCGTCTGATTCAGGCACTCATAATTTAACACTCTGTTAGTTTGACCTCAGTAGTCATTGTGAACGCCTTTTCTGTTTTAATTAGAAGCTCCTGGCCCGGGGAGTCTGAAAGGGTAAATTTCATGAGCACCCATCAAGTAGCTTATTGGATAGTTACTTTTTAAAGAATTTCTTTAAGCAAAAATGTAACTAAATTAAAAGAAATCTTGGCTTTAAATGCAATGATAACAGGCGCCACCACATAGTCAAGTAAACGCTGACGCACTATTTCAGCAGATTTTAATGCTTTTTTATTTTCATACCTAAGAGGCGATATACAAACCTACATATTTATTTATTATTTTCGTTTTGTCTAATACCAACAACATATGTATGTATGTATGTCTTTTATGTGGTTAGTGCTAATACATACACATGCACAATAGTTTCTCGGCGCACAGAAATTCGAGCAAACAAATGATCTCAAGATAAGTTGATCTTTGGAGCCATTAGCAAAGGTAGATAATGCATACGCAACCACACTTACATATGCACAAATAGATATGACTCAAGAAAACACACACCCAAACATAAACAGGTGCATATGTACATGTGTAGAGAAATTCACCAAATTTGTGCATGCATATGTATGTATGTATGTATGTGTATAATTCTGCTTGTGAATTACAAACATATCTTCCTTTTCAACGCGCACTCACGAGCTTTTTGCGAAAGAAAGGGATAATTATTATTTTCTTGTTAACTCTGAAATGCTTTATGTTGGTTAATTATAGTCCGATATTTAGAAGAGGCGAGTCTTTAAAATCGACCGTACCCTCAAATTTTGATTCCATGCTTGTCGAACATGCCAATAAGAATTTAAGAATACTTTTTGTCATTTAATACTTTCGCTCCGTACGAATCCGACAACGTAAACCATTAGAGATACTTACGGAATTTACAAGACAGTTTTTACTTCAATATTTTATCACAGCCTGCAGACACGACTGCAGACGTTCAACTAAAAGATAATTCGGCGCAAGCAAACCATAAACTAGAATGAGCGCCATTCAAAGGTAGATAACGCATAGTCGGACACACACACATGCAAGCATAAGTATTTGTGCCTTCAGAAAACACACAACCAAACATACATGTATATGCATGCAGAGATAATCGCCAAACATGAACGTATGTGTACATTATCTACTTAAGCATCACATCCACACGTAAATTCGATCTATGTATGTATGTATGTGTGTCACTTTGACCCCAGTAGTCAATTTCACATTAATATTTAAATATTTTAGATATCTATAAGTACACATATTTTATATTGTACAAATTAATATTTGTAGTATGTGCGAGTCAAAAAAGATAAATATGTACATACATATATCATTCGGAAATGTGACGTTACTTGAACTTACCAAACCAATAATAGGTTTAATAGAAATTAAATGTACTCGCAGCATAACATCATGCCATATTGACTAATGAGGCCACACTAACATAGAATGAAGTTGCGCAGATCCAGCGCTCAGGAATTAGAGCACGCCAATGCCCAGAAGAGACCTTCAGTGCAAGCAATTGTTGATTGGGCCAATGAGCTGTCAGCACCAAAAAAAAAAAAACGTGAGTGCATGAGAATTAAGTAGATAACGGCATGCGAACACACACACAACAGGCGACTGCTTAGTTATCTCCGGCTTTGTCGCATCTCTGCGCATACACGTGTTTGTGTCGGTGTGTGTATGCAGGTCATGCTCTCACTCGAATTTTGATCGCTTGCCTATTTGCTGTGCGCCGGTTTTTTCGTCCGATTAAGTCACTCACAATTTAACACTCTGTTAGTTTGACCTCAGTAGTAATTCACAATGGTGAACACTACTGCACAGTGTGTTAATTGGACACCTCTAGGCAATAAGCAGGCCCCTAGAAAAAATATTTAGGTGACAGTTGTGGTGGAATTTTGAAAATCGCTTTAAGTTCACCACAAACATCTTAGATAATTTTATAGAATTTTTATTTAACGCATATATGTTTGTATACATTTATTATGTATATGAACATTAATATGATTCTTGACACAAAAATGATATTCTACTTGTTCTAGTTGTTGATTTATAGTGCGTAAGCTTAAACTAGCCTGATTGTTGTTGTTATTAGATCTAACATCAGCACCAAGAGCTGCCAAATGGATGTTGATGCCAGCGTTTTGTTAAGTTTTTGCTAGTGCCTTCAAAATGGTCTATTCTCTAACTGATATATATATATATATATATATACATACACATACATAAGTATATATATATATATATATACATATAAAGGTATAAGGTAGTATGCATATATGGTTGACTTGCATTAAAAAAATATAAAAAGATGCACAGGTTATTAAATTAAAATGGCAGACTAATGATAAAAAAAACAAGGGAAAATTAAACAATAAGTAAAATGATAAGCGCTCGCCGCTGTCAATTAAAATAACATTGCATATGCCTCCAGCATGAATTTCATATTCTGTGTGCCTTCATGTCGACCCGGATGCGCATCGACTGTTGCGGCAATCAGAATGAAAACTCAACCCCCCGTCCCCCTGGCCCACTCACAAATTCTATATCCCCGCCCCAGGTTCCTGTCTTGGTTTTTGTCTACTTTCGTTCGTTTTTGGGATCATCCAAGCCAGCCTTTATTTGACTGAGACGCGAGGGCAGCTCGAGCCTTTGCCGCTTCGTGTCAATGGAATTCGGACCGTCATCATCGGTAAAGTCCAACACACGCTTGCCGGAACCAAGCACTATTTTGTTCATGTCGTCCAGTTTCTGTCGCGAGAAAGTATGTTAAGAGAAGTTTGAGTTTTTTGGTCCTCTCATATTGTCCCTGCAACCGCTTACCTTGGCCGGACTGGCGCTGATTATGTAGACAACCTGGTCTGGCGACTGTTGTATCTCATTCTTGGACATTTGTGTTACATAGAGCGAGTGGTTTAGCTTCTTAGGCATCGTTGTGCGTTCGATGGGATGTGGCGACATCAGTAGGTTTACATTCTATTTGAGAAAACAACGATTTCAGGCATATTGGGCAACATGATTTAATTTGGCTACTCACGTCCGCACTCTCATCAAGATAATTAATGCAGAATTTCGTCATCTCGGGTACATACGTATAGTTGTAAAAGTGTATAATATCTTTGTACTTGCGTTCACCATCATTGACGCTAATTAGCACCTCGCGATAGACACTATTAACCGCCTGCGGCTGGTTGCGATAGGCCCTCATAATGTCACTAAATTTGGTTTCCTCCATTTTTGTTACCTGAAATAGACAAGCAAAATGAAGAAAACTGAAGCATGGATATGAGGAGAGGCGCAACATCCACCTATCTATACAGTCCACATCTATGTATATACATATTATTGGCCCAGCTCATATGAACAACGTGTTAAGGTATGGATTGTTGCAAGCGTGGAGGCATATTGTACTCTCTACATGGGAAACAAATATGAAATAGATCACATGGCGCTCTTCTAACTATTTGCCTATAAAGGCAAAAAGTCTTTATAATCCGAATTATCCATAATATTCTATCGAAGCTACTTGGCCTGTGTCTATTCCACATATTCGTTTAATAAATATATAGATGTTAAAATATGCATCCTGTTATTGTCATACTTACTCTAATATAAATATATATTGCACACATTATAATTTGGTCGAGATGGCGATCTTGCATTAGATGAGTCTTGTGTGTTATCGAATGCTCGAATATGGTCCAGATCTTGTCAGGCTTCTTCTCTGCCAACTTTAGTTCCGAGCACAGTTTCCCAATACGCAGCCAGCCGAGCAGATACACCTTGCGCAGAAATATCTGCAGTGGCCCAGCGGCTTTGTCTTTATTCACTTCAGTGAAGGTGGGCAGCGGCTTGCCCGTATTGCCAATCATCTCCCAGACTGGGGAGGTGAGTTGCCAGGCCAGACGCTCTAGGCACGTCTCCTCAATGGAATTGAGATGCTTCACCAAGCTGCGTGTCAGGCAGCCCTCGCGACTGCCATGGCGTACAACAATTTCAATGATCTTGTGAAATTCGAATGCATTAATACTGAAACAATCCAGAATCCAGGGGAACTTGATCTCCGTGATGTAGGCCTCAAGCACCAGTTCTAAGCAGCAGGCCATCAGCGTCTCGTTAAAGATGTCCAATGAGATCTTGTGTACAATCTGCGGCTTGTTTTTAATCTCAGCCCGGAGTATGTGATCCATTAGGTAGTAGTAAAGTGATTTTGCCATACGGAATCTCTTCTCAGCCCCGCTGCCCATCGGATACTGGGCGAGAAACTTTAGTTCCATTTGCTCGATAGTTTTCATCATTTTCGCAAGTGCTGCTTCGCCAACCTGTCTGTAATGTAAATTTCGTTATAAAAACTGTTATTGCAACCAACTTTTTTGGGCAACTTACTTTACAAAATCGGTGGGCTCGGTTATACGACTGATGGAGGCGCTCAGCTTTTTCACATTGTTGGTGGCATTGGCCACTGGCTCGGACATAACAGGCTGGGAGGGTAGCTCCTGTTTGCGTGTCAGGGGCGTCACTGGCTGACGCAGCGCCTGTTCGTTTAGATTGCTGTGATCGCTGGCGTCCAGCTGGTAGGCGGCCAATACACGCTCGTCAAACTCCCCCACACTCAGCACATACTGCTCATAACTTAAGTTCAGAGATTTCAGATTTCGCTCAAAGTTGTTATTGGCTACCAGGCCGAGCAGCGTATCCTCATTACCTACGATTGTCTGCAATGCATAATAAATTGTTAGCCACATTTAGGAATATCGCTGATTAGCAGCCACGTTACGTTCGTCTGAAAGAAGCTGTGAATAATCTCGATGAAGCCCTTCGCCTTTATTTCTTTGGCATCGGCTTTCATATCGCAGAAGAAGTCGAGTATACAATGTTTGCGGGCATGGGTCTCGTCAAAGTCCGGCGTGTTCCAATTCGGCGGCAGACCCTTAAAGTTCGGGTTGATGAGATCAATGCGTTTCTCGGCCAGCACATTGGCGTATATGAGATCAAGACAGCATATCATTAGATTGAAAGTTGTGACCAGATCAAGGGTCCTCGTTGGCTTCTGATTCTTGGCGCATAGAAACAGACGCCAAGATATATTATCCAGCTTAGAGTAGGTGCATTTGGGGCTAAAATAGACAGAAAGGCATGACTAAAGACGCTAGCTACTGGCATAAGAAGACTTTTTGCACGGCACACACCTGTTTCTCGAGTGTTTCTTCTCGTTGGGCGGACAGATAAACAATTGCTCGAAAATATTTCTGTATCGCTTGTAGATTGTGAATGTGATGCTAAACTTGCGCTCCAGCTCCTCCATTTGCTGTACAAATACTTGCGGCAAATTGGCCATATCGCACCATAGTTTGATCTTTTGCTTAAACTCGTAGATGCTAAAAGACAAGGGAGGTAAGTGAGTGGTGGGCTGGTGGAGTGGGGTTATGCCACACATCATTTCCATTACGCACCTCATTTGACAGCTGCGTAGCAAATTGTTCAATGGCACACAATTGCCCATAACGACTGCATCCTGGCCACCCACAGTGGGCGTTGTCGATTGACGACAGGCCGCGAACAGAGCGCAGCAGAACCAGTGCATGTTGTCCCCCTGCAACGCAAACAATATATATATATATATATATATATATAAGTATACAAAGGCAATTTGTGTTAGTGTACTGCGTTATGCGCATATACATACATACGTATGCACATGCACACATATGTATGTAGTTATGCGCGTTACGTACGCACCTCCAATGAATAATGCTCCTGCACTTCGTTGAGCATCCTAAAGGCCTCGACTTCGGTTTGACGATCCATATTTAGATCACGGCACAGATTCTCAAATTTACAGCGCATCGTCTCCAGGCCATCGTCAACTGGAGCGCCGGCGCTGGTCACCACCTCAGCGCCGACCTCCTGCTCTTGCACATCGTTGCTCATGTTGTTGTTGCCGCTTTCGACTTTAGCTTGAACGCAACTGCAACTGCAAATGCAAATTTTTCACAATTCTTTTTTGGCTAGAACTAAACGTTGCTGCTGACGGCAGCAGCAGCAGCGGGCGCGGCCGCGGGTTCAACTTGGCAAATGAGCGCGCGACTGCAGCAACAACAACAAAGACAGAACGTCGACGAATAAACTTTTTACTTTTTCGCAGCGCAGCGGGCGCATTGAATTTTTTAGATTTTTCGTGTCACGGTGATTTATTTTAACGAAATAAGTGATATGTTTTTGCTCTCTATTAGCTTTATTTCTATATCTGCTGTTTGTAAAGCATGCACGGCAACACTGCGACGTATTTATTAATTCTGCAGCCGAATAGTTACTTACAATAAAAAGGCGGGAAGTCATGAGGTTGCCAGATAGCTTTACATTGTGTGCGGGATAGAGTTGTGTGGCTTAGTTCAGACCAAGTTCGATTGAACGGGTCATTAAATTGAACTTCTGAACTAATTCAATGATTAGTGAACTAAATCGGTCATTTAGTTCACTCGTTCAATATGTAAACAGTATAACATATTTTTTGCAACTGAAAACATGAAAAATAACTGAACAGATATATAATCGTTCATGATTGACTGCATAACTGAACTAAGCAAATAATTCATGACCGACTGAACAGCTGAGCAGAATTCATCCTTCATGACCGACTGAATAGCTGAACGAGTGAACTAAATGACCGATTTAGTTCACGGCCAGAAAATGAACGAGTGAACTTATTCAGCAAATTGAACTAAAAATCCCCATTCTAGTGCGGGGAAATTTATTTTGGCGCCAAAGGTAATGTGATCCGAGGCCCTATCAAAATGTTGCATTGGTTAAAGTATAGCACACAATAATTAATAAAACACTCAACAACATTATTGAATCAATGAATGCTGTTTAAATACCACTCAAATTAATTCCAGTTGTCGTCTGTCGAACATGTGGCAACGATACGCTAGGTAACGACAGCTGTGCACAGCAAATGGCGGCAACACCAACGCAAACAGCTGTCTAAAGACGGCGACCGAAAATCAGGTTATAACGGAACGATCGCAGAACTCTAGCAAAAACAAATGCGCACAGGAGCCGTACGTAGTACTACTACTACTACTACTGTTACATATATTTGTACAAAAAACAATTGGATTAATGTAATATTTATGTTTTATAAATATGCTTTTATTAATTTATTACTTTGTTTTGCAGGTTGTTTATTCATTTTTGGCAACATGTTAACAAAAATATTTTGTTTAAATAAACATGTATATGGTATTATTAAAGTGTGCGATGTGTGTTTATGTGTGTGTGTGTGTGTTCTTGTATATGTGTATGTTTAATGGAATGCTTGGGTAATATTCTTGTTAAATATGTATGTATGTATATTGATTTTTTGGTGGGTTTCTATAATGCGGGCTTTAATTGTTTAGCAGTTACTTGACCTAGGTCGTTGTGCATTTGATATGGTTAGTTGTATTTCAGCTTCATATAGTTTAATTCCTTTGCTTTGGAAACAATATAGAAGAGAAGTATTCTTCATATAGTATAATTGTGGCTGGGTGGTATCGGAGCTTAGCATGTGGAATGTATTGGGCGGTAGGCTGTCTGCTGTCGTCGGCTATCGGCTGTGCCAGCGACTAAATGGACGACTCTATCTATGACTCTATGTACCGATCTATAGATATACATAGGTACTGGTATTGAAATCAAGGATCTGATCGTATTGCATTTATGCTGCTATCCTGCTGTCTTACAAACCAATTGAATTTAAATATCTTTTCGCTCATATTTAGTTGTTTTATTGTTTTCAAAATAGTAAATGCATATGCTTTTGATTTACTTTCACTTGTAAAAATGTTGTTCTTTACAACATGGGTATTTTTTTGTTGTTGTTCTGTATGTATGTGTGTGTGTGTGTGTGTGTGTGTGTGTGTTTTATTTTCTGTTTAATATATATATATATATATTTATTTATACATATGTATACATATATATTTATTTGATTTGATATATTTAACTGCAGCTCTTCGCTTGCCTTCTTCGTGTGTGCAAATGTGTACAATTTACAGCTAAGTATATTCATATTTCTTGCTTTCCATTATTAATTAGATTATATACATTTAAAGGTAAACAAATAAAAAAAAGTTTTGTTTATAATTAAGCAACAAATACAAGCGTACAACAATAAATTAAATAACTTTTGCCGTTACTTGGGGGTTCTTTTCTTTACTTTTCAAATGTTATTTCATAGTATATATATGTATATATATAGGGTAAGCATATAGTTATATAGTTATAGTTATAGTTGCATATCGATTAATTTACTCTCAGCTTTGCCGCTTTCTGTGCGTCTCGTTCGCCAACTTTAACAAAGTTTTCCCCTTTCTTTGAATTCTTTATACAATTTCATATTCTGATTGGTAAATCGAACCTCTCGGAACAAGCTAAAGCTTGGTTGAAGCTACTTTATAGAAACACAATCCAGGAAAACCTCCTTTGACAATCCCTAAAGTCGTTTCGGTAACTTATGAGAGTCTACGTCCTTATGTAGTGGCAGACGTAATCCCAGGAGACGCACCCCCCAGGACGATAATTCAATTCCTTTATCAATTCGCAAAAAAAAAACCCTTGACAGAAGAATTAACATTCGAAAGGACCTCGTACAGAAACACTATGTCGACCGGTACTGTATCAGGAATTGATCTGATCACACTTAGAGAAACTGTTGGACCATCGCTTCCGGCTCTTTTCGATCCGGTCAAGACTAGCTGTGAGAACGATAAATGATTGGCTTTGGCATTGCTTCAGATCAACGCTCGGGAACTGTAATTCTCCGATATGATAGTGCTGCTGGTTTGATCAATGTGGATCAACAGAAATCTGTGCTTGCATTGAAAGGACCAGTTGATACCCAAGAATGAGTATTCTTTCCGGACATTAGCTATGCAATCAAGAACATGTTTTCTGGGGATGACCAAACGATTAAGGAGGACTCGTAACTCTCTCATAAGATGAATCCCTTATTCGGCGTCTGCAAACCCTCTTCCTCATATGCTAGTGCATATCGTAGGTTCCTTGATCAGGAATGAAAGATCTCGCAATCCTTTTGTGGGTAAAACAGACTCATTTCTATACCTTGGAAACAAAAGAAACTGTATGACGAGAGAAAGGCTGCAGATGAATCGGCAGAAACTAGAGATGTGGGAGACGACGAGCGGGAAGGAATGGTAAGGATTAATAATGAAAGGACTGTTTAGCCTGGATTGAGGCTCAGAACAAAATCAGGTCTTCACAGTGAAGCAAAAGGAAGTCTTGAAGCATGCAGTGGCAAGCATTAAGAATCCACATCCTCTCTAAATGGCTGAGTGGGTTAAGACTACCTTGATCAAGCAATTAAAATTCGAAGACGAATTAGATGAAGATTGGTAACGATCTCATTTGTTGTTGTTTGTTGTTGTTGTGGTTGTTGTTGTTGTTGTTGTTGTTGGTTGCAGTAAATTACTAAAGTAAACTGGTGGCTTTTATGGCTTAGACTTAACACTTCACATAAGGCTTAAAGCTACGATTAAGATTAAACAATAGAATAAGCAGACTGCATACATATATATATATATATATATATATATATATATATATATATTTATATATATACTTGATATATATATATGCATATACATAGACATAACTATACCCATTTCAGCATCAGTTATATTTACGCCGCTGTTGCAGTTTCCTCTCTCAGTTTCATTTTTATACAATTTTACAGTTGTGATTTTGGATGGTGCCCCAACTATGCAGAGCTCTAGGCTAATGCGAACTTACAATACTAGGCTAAACGCAGTTACGGGTAGAGGAGACGGAGGAGTAGGGTATCGGGTTAAGAGCGGCATTAACAAAATGCCAACTCTAGTGGTATGGCTTCAGATGCTCCACGTAATTCTCGGGTATGAGACCCGTCTTGCCATTCAGCGTGCCTTGCAGCCAGCCCGGTTCGTGTGAGAAGCGCACTGAAAATTTGAATTAGTAATTAGTTATTGGTATTACAATTGGCAATTGGTAACACATGGATTCCCACTGGATATATCATGCGCTTACCATTGGTTATAATCTGATTTGGCTCAAAGGATAGCTCGCCCTCGCTCTCACCCATACAGGCATATAAAGTACGAACGCGTCTGCAATGAGATAATAAATAAGAGTAAATATGATCTTAATTGGGTGTTTGAGTTACATTAGATTAGTCGGCTTTGCCCGGCTCAAGCGCCTATAGTTTAAATTGAATTCTTTGTTCTTCACAGACTCGATTTACGCTCAGTAAGTCAGTACAAAAAGTTGTAGAAAATGCTTTTTGGAGCTGCTTTCACAATATGAACTTACGCTGTGCCCGCGGATAGATCCCGCTTGATTTGGTTAATGTCACGGTTGCGATGCATTTTGGTTGGCGCATAGTCGGCGCTCTCGTTGGTGGAGCCGCTGCCACTAAGGTTCCCCAGGCCGCTGCCACCGATCATGGATGGCGCCGCGGTGGCCGTCACAATATCATCACAGGTGGAGCCAAGCAGCGTGGACAGTGACGATGCCTGCGATGTGATTGGCGGATAATCAATAGAGGTGCGCGCGTTCAACAGACGCGTCACATTGGCACTGCTGCCGCCAGAGATTAGAGCCGCGCCTCCAGTGCCGCCTCCGACTCCGCCCCCACCACCGCCAACCAGGCCATTGTTGGAGGAGAGTGAATCGCAGACGCTCTCATTGGAGCTGGATGTGGAGGCGGCTGCTACGGGCGAATAGTGCTTCGCCTGCCCATAGCCAAAGTGGCTGCGCTGCACGGGCGGATGCTGCTGAGGGCCGCTTCCTACGACGGCGCTGCTGCTGCCTGAGGTCTGCAGCTGGCGCTCCTTGCGCATGGCGGCCGTGGGCGGGGAGACATTGTTTAGGCTGAGACGATTGCTGCTGGCGTTCGTATAAATATGGCTGCTGGATGCAGACTGTGCCACTGGCGTGGCAGTGGCCATTAAATAATCGGCATGTCGCAGATTGCTGCTGGCTGTTGCCGGCGTCGCATGATGCGCCTGCAGCCCCGCGCCCCCATTGGTATTGGCGCCGGCGCCCAGTATGCCATAAACGGCAGCTGCCGCATCTGTGCCAGTGCCGCCGCCGCCGCGACGTCCACTGATGTCGCTTTGCGTCATGGCGTGCAGGTTCTTCATGCTGCCCATTTGGGCAGGCCGTGCACCATTTGTCGCATGCGCTGAAACCGTCAACGTCGATCCAGTGCCTCCGCCATTGGTGCTGCTGTTGGTAACGCCACTTGGCGGAGTACTGCTGCTTGCGCTGGCCGGCCCATGCGCATAGATCATGCCATTTGGAATATTCTGCAAGCTGGAGGACATGGTGGGCTCCGGATAATTGGATTTGGCCACCACACGGTACACCTTCTGTTGCGGCGAATACATCGAGCTCCGACCTACACTGCCACCGCCGCCGCCGCTGACACTGCCACCGCCCGTCGAGGCAGCCTTGCCCACCTGCGAGGCGCGCGGCATTCTTGTCGGCGGACTGGTGCTGCTGGGATGCAGGTTGGCAGCGGTAACAGCAGCATTCACTGCAGTCGCAACTCCGCTGCTTGGATCATTCTTGAAGATGCGCTCATAGTTCTCGATGAGTATGTTGATAACAATATTGTTGAACTTGATGTCCAGTATGGCGGCGACCGTCTCCTCCAGCGGACGCAGCAAGGTCGGCCCAAAGACCACGCCCAAATTGAACACAGACATTTTGTTCTTCTCGTACTTGCGCGAGACTCTGAAAGCGAATGGAAGCAATATGGTTATTAATTTGCTTGACAGGTTTCAATTATGCTGAATTTATAAACGTATAGAAGAAGGCACGAGCCAAGAGCAAGAATGCTTCATATAATAAGCGAAACATAATGTTAGATTAGACACGGGTTTTCGTCTTTCACTGAGGAGCCACTAGTTTAGAAGACTGTCTTAAAATAAGCAGATTTATTCAATTGAAAATAGGCAAAAATAGGAGGAACTAAGGTTCCAAACAATATCTTGATTCATGTATGGGAAAAACTGGACTCACGAGCCAAATCTAAAGAGTCGAACCTATGGAACCACTTTGCTTCGTAATGACTCCGTAGACAAATAAGATTTGTATCGCCAATAGAAACAAGTTCCTTCTCTAATGATTAGAGATATATGCAGGTTGGTTTACTCACTCAGTCAAATGCCTGATGACCATGTCCAGCATTTCAAAGTTTGGCTGCGGCAGTTTGTAGACTAATTTGTGCACCTCGTTGACGCGTTGATTGAGGCTCTCTTTCTCTGTGAGCGAAAGGAGAGACGGGCATGAATAGGGCATAAGGTCTATAAAGTGTGAACTCTTACTGGCTGCCTCGATGAAGCCGCTGTGATAGTGATAGGTCATGAGGGGCTCGTTCAGATTGCGCAGATACATTTTCAGAGCGCTGGCAATGGTGTTGCTCTCCATGAGATCACGATATTTGTCATCGGTGAATACATCATCCGTTTCCTTGCGCTCCATGCCGAGGGAGAGCAGTTTGTTGATTTTAGTGCCGACGCCGCTTTTTCTATAAATGCCCTCGTCCTCGAGACCACGGCCCTCCAGAACTTGAATACACCGGCGCACGAATATAAAGCCAGTCTCGTCCAATTGATAGGCCTCGCTGGCCTTCATTTTGCCGGGCACCAGATATGTCTGCAACAAGCGATTGAGGTTGTTTGAATGATTGAATGATGAGTGCTGTATTGGGGTTATGCTTACCGGCTCCGTGCCATCCATGGCGCTCAGCCAGGAGCGATGGTCCTTTTCGCTTAGCGCCTGAAATGTGTAAACAATGCCCGGCTTCTCCTTGAATGTTAGATCGAAGCAAAACCTCTTCTCAAACTCGGAGGCCCGACGCTGGCACGAGAACAGTGTCAGCTTCTCGTCCTCACGCGCCTCGGGTCGCGTAAAGCTGTGATTCATCTGATTGAACTGGAGCATTGTGAATTCGCGCTTTTGCTTCTTGAATGTGCAATAGTATTTCGTCCATGTTGCTTTAAAGGGCTCTAAAAGTGAGATTTTCAGAAGGGAACCTAAGAATCGTTTGCAGTTTGCAGATTGTAGTTGACAGGTAGTTGATATCAGTGTGTGGTTGTGGTTGATTGATTGATTGATTGATTGATTGGTTGGTTGGTTGGGTGTTGGTTGTTTGGTTGGTTTGTTGGGTGGATTTTTGGTTTGCAGAATCACAATTACAGTTGATACCGAAAGCACACGGATTAGAGATCATAGAATTTCCCAAATACAAAGGGGGTTTTTTTGTAAAAAAAAAATTTTTGGGGGTAGAAAATAAATAGAAAACAAAAATACACACAATAAGAGTAGACCCATAAATTATTGGCAGTGCGTTAGTGCAAAAGACGGGTTGTTGTTAATATTTCGAAAAAAATAGATCGTTAATGGGCCGATTCGATAGTTTTCGATAGACGGGTAAACAGGGAGGAGCAAAACATTTATCGTTAGATTGAATTAAGCAACAAGCATAAGACAACATTTAACATTTAAATGACTCACAGCTAATGTCATTGGCAATGAGTTGGCAGGATTAAAATAAATGCTTCTGTTTCCCCTAAGGCTAACAATCAGTTTAACATGTTGATAAATTCACTTTCGACAATTAGTTTGCTTGCCAAGCAGTTTGACAAGCAGTTTGCTTTGCAAATAACAATGCAGTAGATCTTCAATTAAAATCGCTATTTGATCAGTTATTTCCTCAATGTTCCTGTTTATCAAAGCGTATTTCTACTTTCTGTTAGCTAACATGAGCTTGATTTGATCTCTGCAAATACGTGTAAGCCCTTTCGTGGTTCTTGATAATGCTATAATGCTAGACGTGCCACACTTGACAATCGTCTTTCTGTTTGTAATGTGCCGCAATATTGTTTTTTAGCTGAGTTAAAATGTGAATTAACTGGCATGCTGCCTCATTGCGAATGACTTAGTCTTTTGCCGATATTTTATGTGATTGTCACAGTAAAAAACTCACTCTTTTCCATCAAAAACAAATAACCGCGTTTGGTGAAAATCTCCTCGGACTTCTGTGAATGAAAATGACAAATTAAAGCTTTTCTAACATTTTGACAATGTATTCTAAGCCATGACTTACCGTACGCTTTTCCATGTACTTGGTCTTTAGTTCAGTGACCTTTTCGCGAGCTTCCTCAAAATTTTCGCGAGTCTGTTAAGAAATGTACACAAAAAAATAATTTAAAAAAATTATTTCGCAATTTGGATGTAGATGGAGTTACCTTTTGGACTTTGTGCCTCAGATCCTGCAGATAGTCGCGATGGTCTTCGGCTTGCTCGTGGGCGGTGTGATAGAACACCAGCCAGCCGGATATGAAGGCCAGCAGTATTTCGACGAATTCAAATTTGATGCGTTCCTGCACTTCCTGGATGCGCAGTACATAGCTGAGCGACTCCTGAATGTATTCGCGCTCATGCATGCCCAAACTGGCATCGGCCTGACGAACGCGATGATGATGAAGGAGCAGAAGAAGAAGAGGCGAAAACGGATATTCGTTGGTATTAAAATACTCATGGAGTTATTTAAATATATATATTATATATATATATATATAATATTTATGCTCATATGCTACAACTATAGTTGACCAGAGAGACAATTGGAAGTGTTGCACTCTGACCTTTCCGGCCGGCATTTACGTCTGTTTATGGCTGCATAGGTGTGTGTGTAGGTGTCATTGTGTGTCTGTGTGTAGGTGTTTTAATTACGTCTACGCCCACATACACATAAGTTGGCCAAACTTTTCACTTGCCCAAATTGAAACGACAACAAGCACACACAATGACCCCTCCCGCCAAAATTTCCGACGCATTTGCACGTAACAAATGACATTTAGCATTTCGCAGCTTCCTTATGTACATATAAATATATATATATATATATACAAATACGTAGTAGTGTGTGTGTGTGTTTATGCAGATTGGATTTCAAGTTCAATTGAACTTTGATATTCTATGCTGCTGGCCACGCATATATGCAATCGCTGTGCACACAATTTTGTAGGAAGCATCTGACGTCTGCAAAATCTCTAGAACCCACGCAAAATTTCATTTGACAGTTTTTAACCTTTATGGAATTCGGAATAAGATATGACATTTTACATTCGACATGTCACAAAAACTAACTACAGATTTTTTCGGAAATAACTAGCCAAAAAGTCGGCATTATCAACGAACGCAAATTCAATTTAGCCCCCTTTCTTGACGTTTCAGCCTAGAGTTTTCGAATTGTATCAGCAAATATTTAGAAAATGTTAAGGTAATCTTGATTTATAGAACTATTTATAGAAGTGTAAACAGACTTGTTAGGTTAAACTCTTTTTCTTTTCAGACATTTTCACAGATCTAAAAATGGTTTAATAGAAGAATGCTTATCATTATCATTAGAAATATCAACTGCAGCCAGTTCCGTGTATATAGTTTACAACAATTTGATTACATTTGCTCTAAATTGTGGAAATGAATTATCAACACTTAAAAATTGAGATTTAAAACGAACGCTGTAATATGAGATAACATGCATGTTAACGGTAACATAAGATAACATGCATGTTGACTGTAACATAAGTTTACATGCATATTAACTGTAACACAAGATAATATGCATGTTAACTAACTGTAATATAAGATAACATGCATGTTAACTGTAATATGAATATCTTGACTCTCATGTTATCCTAAATATCTCGGCTATCTCTTGGGCACAAAAACACTTCATTATTAATAAAACAGGAGCGAGTCGATGAAAGGACAAAGTTGTTGTTAAAATTTGTTATATGAACAAAAAAAATGTTTCGTGTTCTTTTTGAGCTGCACTCAGTGGCACACAAACACCTGTTAGTGGCCCCACACACACAAACACACAAACACACACACATACACAAACAAACACACACACACACACTGGCAAGCTCGTCGAGCGCACAACAGCGTTTGATTAGGCGGTTGGGCTAGGTTTTTTTTTTTTGAATAATATTTTGCGACGCTTGCAGGATTAACGCAATTGCTGCTTAGCGACGACACTTACCACAAATGCAAACCGCCGCCGCGCACTGCATGTTCTCAAATGAATGTGAGCTCTTTGCTGCAAAGGCGCGACAGTTCTCTTAGCGTCACTTTTGCGTAAGTTAAATCAAAATTTGAATTATTCTAAAATTCTAAAAATCGTAATTAAATAACCAAAGCGTGCACTTTAGTTCAACTAAAAAACAGGCAAAGCCAAGGGCTACGCCTATGAGTAGTTGTTTGTGTTTCGCGAAAGCTGCGAATATTTTTTCTTTTTTTATGGAATTTTTTTTAGCACGCTTTTAGGCGGCCACACAAAAACTTAATATGTTGAACGCACTTCCTTGTTTTGCATTTATTTATTTGTTGACGTTCTCTCGAGATATATTCACATATTTTTTTTTGTCTTTTTCTTATCAATTTTTGGTCAATTTCAAGTGAGTTGTTTTTTGGACATTAGTTTTGGCTGGACTGATTGGCGCTGCGGCTGCTGCTGCTGCGTGTCGATTTAATTTAGTTTTTAGTTGTTTTTTCCACGCACTCCTGCCGCACACACGCACACACGCACACACACACACACACACACACACACACACACACACACACACACACACACACACACACACACACACACACACACACACACACACACACACACACACACACACACACACACACACACACACACACACACACACACACACGCACGCACCCATACAATGGAAGCTGAGCGTGCGGCGCGCACACGAAAATGCTGCGCGAATTTCGTTGCTCTCGTTGTTGTTGTAGCCGCTGCTGAGTATTTCGCATTGGATTGCCAAAAAATCGGCCACAGCGTGACGAGAAAAACAACAACAACAACAGCTCGTCCACAACACCAGCAGCTCCAGCTCCAGCTCCAGCTCTAGCTCCATGACCAGCGGCAGCTGTGCCCTTCTGTGCGTGGGAGAGCGCCTGCGCTTTTCCTAGCCTCCTTTTGTACCCAGCTGAGCATTTTTTACAAATAACAGGGTATATGTGCTTTCTAGCTCATTACGAAGTTAAGTTTTGCAATATTGCAATATCTAGCTTTAGCCAGGTTAAGCTTGTGAACCAGTTTTTTCATTTTACATCCACAAACCTAGGTTTTGTTATTGAACAGATTCCGTTTCAACTTAAAATGTTAACAGTTGCTTGGACTGAATAACACAAAAGAAGTTGGTTGTCTCTTCTGTTATTGAATTGGTTTTAGTTCATTTATAGTTATTCTTAAATAAACTTATATATTTCTGTATGTCATTACTTTTTTATACTAAAATGAATTAAGATGTAGTGAAGTGGAATCCTCGAAGATATTTAGTATAAATAAAAAAGAATTATTAAAATACATTCCTCTTAAAGTTTGACTACGAAATATTTGAACTTCTATACTTAGTTAAAAGTCCTACGAAAGATAATCGGAAATGATGTTACATATAAGAAGCTTTTTCTTTGAATGTGGTTCGGTTCGTTTAGATTTTGGGCTACCAAGATTCGGCTAAAGATTCTGTAAATAACTTAAGAAAACTAGGAATTGCCAGTTTTGTTTTATGCGCTACAAGTAGTATACGAATAACAGTCTTTCAACTGTGAATGGCTTATAGACAGAGAAATGAAGATGCGGAGACAGAGCAGAAATAACTTCTAACGCACACGAATGAATCTAACTCATGTACATTGATAATATATGCGTTTGTTTGTGCAACTTTGAGAGCAATCTAGTCGGCAGAGTGGAAACCTCATATAACAAATATGAGGAAACAATTTCGCACTTGTGTGGCACTTAATAAAGTGGCAAATTAAATGCTGCAGCCAGAGTGTGGCAAGTCTTGTTGCTGCTGCCGCAAGTCTTAGTAACTGCAACAAACGACATTTAAGGGTCGTTTGTGTCAACAATAACAAACAGTGCAGGCCGCACACACAAAACACACACATACACACACACACAGAGGCACCAGCTGCACACACTCAATGTAGCATACTTTTGAGCACAATGTGCTGCTCGCGACCTCGCTCTCTCTCCCTCTCCCTCTCCCTCTCCCTCTCCCTCTCCCTCTCTCTCTCTCTCTCTCTCTCTCTCTCTCTCTCTCTCTCTCTCTCTCTCTCTCTCTCTCTCTTTCTCTCTCCCTTGTGGAAAGCACACGAAAGCTCTGGCAAAATCGACTGCTGTGCACTTATCGATTTAATTTATTTTCAAATGTATCGATATATCAATTACACAACATTTTAAGAAAACTTTCAACTTTGGTGCAGTTATTAACTTTGTATAAAAATACAAATCAGATGCAACAATAACTAAGCGATTTTTTAGATATTGGTTTATATTTACATAAGACTTTATCACTTTACTCGATTTACACAATTCTGATTTAAAAATATATCGATAGGCGGCTCAAGGCGCAATTAATTCACGTTCTGTGCTTGAAAGCTTTGCTGTCTTGGAATGTCAGCTTTATATATATGTACATTTGCCGCTCGGCCATGTATATGTATTGTATGTACGTGAATTGGAAACAACCCGCAACCTCCCCCTCAACAGAAGCGCATCGCTTTGGCATTTTTGCGTGGGCCAAAAATATTTTTGTTACTGTCTGAACTTTTCGCCCACATTTGGCGGCCGGCGAACGTGGTTGTAACTAAATATAGATGATAGCTGCTATTGTGCCTGCAGATACAGATACAGATACGGATACAGAACAGATACAGATACAGATACGGATAAAAATACACAGTGACAGCTATAGATACAGATACGCAAGCTGTATCCTAGCTGCAGACTTGTTGTTGTTGTTGTCGCGTGTGTTAAAATTAGCCGGGGTCCAGCGCGAATGTGCGCCAATCCTGACATTTACGAGTGGATGTTGCGTGGGCAGCTCCCGAAAGGTAGCCCTAAAGCAAATGCGAAAGCTTTTCTTTTTATTCAACAATTTCCTTTTATTTTGCCTTGCTGCCAAAACGGAAATTTGCCAGAGAAAATGTTCGCAAGCCGGCGCACAGATGCCTGCACCTGCAGCAGCAGCTTAAGAAAATGCTATTCCAGTTGGTAGACGACCCACACAACCACCCAATAATCGACCCCACCCAACCCCCCATTGAGAACCGGGCACCGGCACCGGCACCCGCACCGGGCAACCCAAGACGCATTTTCGCACCCTTCTGGGCTGACAATCTAACAAAAGCCGGCAGCCCACGAAAAACTGCACGAGTAAAATTTGATAAGGCACAGACAACATTCACATTCACATCCCATTCACATTCACTTCTGTGCGAGACGACGCATTACCTTAACGAGCGGGCGGGCGGCAGCCGGATGTCGGAAAAACCTGGGGGGTTGTCAAAGAAACATAAAGTACAGTTACTTAAAGACAGTCCAGATGAAAAGCTAAATAAAGTATTTGCTAGAAATCTATCAGGCAAATTAATGCAATTTTCTAAAGATAAGAATTTGATGGCAGAATTTGCTAGAGTTACCAAACTTGACATATAACTTCTAAAATAGAATATATGTATGCATTTGATGTTGGAAGAAGAGGGTTCAGTGTATCCCCTAGTCGGGAGCTCCCGACTAGAACCTCTTACTTGTTTATATTATAAAGTGTAAGAATAAATTGTGTATAAAGAGCGCATAACTTTCTAAGCCCTTGTTGCTGTAGCTGGGCTCAGTCAGTAGCCCATAATAGGCTTTACGTGCTAAACCCTTCTGGGAGACGTTGGAAAAGCGCATTAGCAAACTTTAGAGCGTAAAAATGTTTAAACGGAAAAACACAAAAATAATGGAAGGAAAGCAGAATATATCATAGCATAAGCGGAAAATAATGAGTGCCAGACAGAGAGAGAGGGAGAGAGAGGGCGATGCCTTTGGCGGGTAGAGATTGCGGATGATGGGTGTGCGTGTGTGTGTGTGTGTGTGTAAGGTGTTGCAACAATGACAACGAAGCGTGACTGATAACAAATTGTGGTGCTTATGCAGAACAGTCCAAGCGGCCGGCATAGAAACCGTCGCAAGGCTGCCCAAGGGTGGGCAGGGGGTTCCAGGATATGGAAACAGGTACATATCAGACGGTGCTGGCCAGCTTAGTGGAGGCCGCATTAAAGCGGGCTACGTGACACGCATGCCAAGCATAGAAAATCAATATGACAGCCGCCGCTCATTGCAGCACACAAAGCTACAGAAAAACACCCCTTTCCCCCACCATGTCCAGGCCCCAACTCCATTGGCAACTGCAAGCACAGTTAAAGTTTGAAACAAATGCCGGCAATTGGGCAGCCGGAAAGACATTTGATTGATTTCAGTTGCCGGCTTAACCCCTTTTTTCTCAAGCGGTTCCAGCCATTTGGGGCTAACCATGTCCAACGACCAGCTTTCGGGGGGCAACGCGAATCGGTCGAATCGGTCAGCCAATTAATGTTGTTGGCATTAATGTTAAGGTGTTCGTTGTTGGTTTGTAAATTGTAACCTTGTAACTTTAATGGGATTAAAAAAAAATAAAAAGGTATATTTATTGATTTGCATTAAATTGCATCTAATTTAACACTCTGAAACAGAGTGTAATGGGAGTAGCTCATGAGCACAGAAAGCAGGACATCTTTTTTTGTTAGCTCATTTGCTCCATGGTCATTTTATTTGCTTAATGTCTTTGGGAGGCATTCGAGAAGGCTTTAAAAGCTTTTACAGCCTACGGGAGCTAGTTATTATTGCTAGAGTAAGTACTATAGCCCTCCATGGTTACTTTAAATGATTAGCCTGCTAAGGCTCAAGGGAAAGGCATAGGGAAAGAACTAGGGGATGCCATGAACCTTCTTGGCAGCAGTAGCTGTAAAATGAAAGATACCTGATCTGTGTATACTATTCTGGAAGCTAAATGTCCTGTTTGGTGAATCTCTAGCTCCTAAAAGCCAAGAGATTTGCTCAAAAAACAGGATTCCAGTAGCGATTTTTATCGATTGCTTGGAAACGGGGCAGGTAATCGATTTTCGTAAACAAACTTGTACTGCACGGTGACAAGGAGTAGCTAGATTTCAAACCTCTAGCTCTAATAGGTTCTGAGATCGACTCGTTTATACGTACAGACAGCTATTGGTGCATGCAGCTCTTTAACAACGTGAGCCATTACATTCGATAGTTTAGTTTCCTCCATGGTCATTTGCACAGCCAAAATGGCCAACATAATTAAAGAAGTATATTTGTGGTTAACAGTAAATTCGAATGAATGATTCGCTATTAATAAGTTCCCACATCCATATATTTAGCAACATTTCATGAATGAGTATGCTGCACTGAAAATCGACCCAGTTCCGTTTGCATCTGGCTAGTTTTTCCAAGAACGCGTGCCAATTGCGGAGCAATTACATTAATATGCAATTAAGCGCTGTCGATGCCGATGGCTCATCCCAGCGTCAATGCCGTCGCTGCATGTGGCATCATGGAATTGGCTAGGTTGGGGATGAATGCATCATTAGTTTACGGAGCGCACCAGAGGCCAGCAGCAGGCAGCAGCCTGTTTACATTGGCCGCATTTCGAGAGGAGCAAACATTTAATTGTGTTTACTTTGAAAAGTTCAAAAGCATTGCACGAGTGGACCAGATGATCCACAAATTGGACTTGTGACCGACCACACAGCACGTTCCAGTATATTGACCCCCTCAAAGAAAATAAGGTGTTCTTGGGTCAACAGACATTCGATTGGTCAATTACTTTTTCGGTAGGTCCTTATTCCCATATGGCTATTTCTTCAACAGGCTTAATTTAAGCAAAACTACTATCTAATTTATATAACTAATTGTTGCTCTCTGTGATTGTTTATCTAATTGGAATATCTAACTTTTGCTTTATAAAAATGTTTCTCCATTTAAAAGTTTTGCCAGCAGTTTTGATTAATTTAAAAGATGTTTTTATAGGAGAAAAATATTTGATGCAAATAGACTCCTGTATTTTTTTAGAGTGTACATACTTTAAAATGCATGACCGGAAACGAGCTGGCCACAAAATGGCGGCTCGCTGCGCGCATGTCTGGCCGGGGCAATATGTAATAGTCAGTTTCAGCCAGGATCAGGATCAGGGGCAGGTCAGGGATGCGGACGTGGGCCACTTGTGGCCAAAAAGAAAACTGTTTTTTTTTTTACTATTATTGCGCATGTAGCTGCTGTAGCAACCAAACGCCCACACCCACACACACACACACACAAGGACACATTATGTGGTGTGCCAGTTAAAGTTGGCAGCCAAACCAACCGAAAAAGTCCAATCCACCCAGCCAGCAGAGCCCGCTAGAGGGCAGAGTAAATAGCAGCAGTAAATGCAACGATTGCATGCCACAATGTGTATACGAATTCGTAGACTATGTACAGTGCAGATTGGCTAAGGGAGCACAACTGCTGGCTGGCTAAATTGAATTCGGCAAGTGCAAAATCAAAATTAAAGCTCATATTCTTGGGCAGGTGTCAGGTTAATATTGATCTAAAAAGCACACGCTTTTAGTACAACATTATGATGCTCCGAGTATTGCATTAGAGTCCTATCCGAATTGCAAGTCGGAAACCCATACGCAGCCAATAAAATCTTGTTTATATTCCAGTGGGAAACAACATCTTCAGATATAAGTTACCTATCTACCATTTCTTTCGGAATCGGAATTCGGAACGTGGCTAAGCCCGAATACCTCAAGGACTATTTGAGTGTTCCATTTTGTTTGACTATATTCGGAGTCCGAAATATCGTAGCAATAATAGAAAGATTATAAAACTGAAGAACTTTTATAGACTTCTAACAATATGTATATTAACTTTTTCATATTATTACGGACTGCGAATTGACTAGTTTTTCTTTTATGTTGTTTCTTTCGAGTATCTACTGTACATTATATTGATGCAATTTGACGTAGGTCATGGAACTTTGCACGTTTTTTCTGTTTTTTTGCTTTTTTTCTAATAAAACTCTTCTATATGCGTTGTGCAAGTAGTGGAAATGCGACCAGACGAAAAACAACTGTTGGGGCTCGCAAGGGTTGGGGCATTGGGGTAGGTTCTAGGGGTGACTGACAAGCGCAAGCCGAGGGACACGCTAGGATCAAGTGCAGAGCCAAGGCAGCTGGTTGGGGTTGGGCCAGATTTTTGGCATAACTTCAAGTTGCAATTTTGGCAAAAAGAAAAAGTTGAGCACAATTTGATTCCATTTGTCTGCTGGCAGTTGTGAATAAATGAAATTGGGAAATTCAAGACCTGGGGCTGTGCTTTACTGTGCACTTACCTCTTGTATCGTGTTCTCTGGCTTTTTGGTTGACATATTTAGGAAGCGCTCCTGCGACTGACAGAACTTCTCTGTCTTCTTGTCAAATTTCTTTTTGTTCTCCTTGACGCCGCCAATTTGTTTCTTGCGAAAGTCCTCCAGCGATTCAATGATATGTTTGTCCGCCAGAGTTAACTACAACAGGCCAAATGACAAATAATTAACCGAGTCCTTATATATGGCATTCAATATGTCAACCCACCATTTTCTCGCGCTCATCCTCGATGGTGCCAATGATCGCACCGAAGCGCTTTAAGCTCTCGCAGATGACGTTCTCGTCGTCAGTCTGTGCAGTGCCAATGCACTCGAAGTTGAAATCGTTTAGCAGAATGGCCAACTGTTTCATACGTGTGGAAAGTACTGCAAGAAAGTTAATAATATTTATGTAAAGCAAATTAGTAAAGTTTTCTCTCTCTGTGCAAAACTATAAAAAACATTCAATTTAAGACTATAATGTATCGTACGTTAAAGTTCATGCCCTTGTCAGATATTTTCGACTACAAAGGCACTTTTCGACTTGAAACGTATTTATAATTATGCTGAATGAGTTAGCATATTCGTAAGCGATCCATCTATTCGCTTTCAAATTGGGTCGATAACTTCAGGTTAAATGTATATGGGGCAAAGATTTATCAACTCATTTTTGCCATATGCAAATCGTATTATAGCATATTTTAAGTTAATTAAAAGACTGTGATTAAGCTTAGACTAACACACACATATGTATGTTATATAAATCGCCGTCTTTCGTAGATGGGATGTCTATTTATTCATGCCAGACTATGGTTCAACTTTTTTCTTGTCTCTGTTCTAGCTGAATATTTGAGAAATATAACTAATGCCAACTTGCATAATTTAGCTTTAGGCTTTGCCCGCGTTAGGTCCTTTCAGCTAGTTTTATTTTGATATAGCTTTGCTTATTATTTTCTTGTTTACATTTGCTGGCACACACATTAAAGTTTCTTCTACGATCCTCATTACACATATTCCTTGCCATTGTTTCCTACCCACTTTCACTTTCATTAATTAAACATTTCTCTTCGCTCCGCTATTAGCTTATTGGCTAGCTGTATGTTCACTTTCTTTTTCACATATGTAATTTACAATATTCGCCATCCGATCATTCAGGATCTGCGGCATTATGCGATTATGCCAGTGTGTGACAATGGTCATTAAAACGTCACGATGTCTGTCGAGACGCCTTAAGCATGCATATAGAACGGCCAATCGGTCGGTTTGATGAACCTGGCTTGAGGTATTGCTGGATATTTGCGATTTGAATGGCCAATTAAGCCCGCTGATAAGCCACACTAAACCATAAAGTCCGATGTCTGGCAATAAGCACACACACACGCACACATATATATACATATATATATGCATGGCTTATGGTCCGTCTGCCTGCCAGTTCGTATAGCCTGTCAGCTTTTGATGGGCATACAATTTTTAATAGCTTGTCTTTTGATTAAAAACCATAAAAAAAAAGTTTAATAAGCCATAAACCAAATGAGTGGGCCGTTCAGCTCAGAATAGCTTATGTTTCTTCTACTGCGTCTTCTTCTTCTTCTCCTCTCTTATTTCTTTATATTGTCTGCCGATAATTAAAAACTTCTAAACTTTCTTTGGTGCTTTCATACGAATTCATTTAGTGTCTGATTTGTAGGTGAAAGTTTTATTGTTCGGAACATTTACGAACCAAAACAAGTAAGGGGCTCTCTAATCGGGAGTTCCCGACTAGGGGATACCCTGCACCCTCTTCTACCAACACCAAATACACCTCGTGGATAAACGAAAGAAAATGTTTCCCTCACTAGGTTTCGAACCCGTGAAAAATCGCACCACTTGCAAACGCCTATGCTCGATTGTCACACCAACAATTTATTTCTAGTAAATTAAAAATAATTATAGAAAATTATAGAATGAATGATATTTGATATATATACTTTTCCAGAAGCTACTTGTCAAATTTGGTGTCTCTAGCTTTTAAATTTTACGAGATTTGCCTAAAAACAGCATTTCGATATCGATTTTTATTGACTGCTTGGAAATGGAGCGAGTTATCGATTAATGAAAACAAACTCGTACTGCCCGGGCAGTACGTACTCACTACATTTTCCCCTAGCTCTTACAGGTTTTGAGAGCCTTGCGTTCATACATACCGACAGACAGACGGATATGGCTAGATCGACTCGGCTATTGATGCTGATCAAGAATATATATATATATAAATATGCTTTATGGGGTCGCAGATGCTTCCTTCTGCCTGTTAAATACGTACGCACAAATACCTTATACCCTCTTAAGCAATTTTTAATGGGCTCAGGGTAAAAATAATAATAAATAAAAATACAAAAAAAAAAAATATTTCTCGTTTGGGTCTCAGCCTAGCGAAACATTTTTCATGCATATTTATTAGGATTTTTATTATAACAACGCTTATAAAATTATGAATCGTTTTCACATTTGTGATTCTTCGACTTTTGTTAGCGATTAGTCTAATTGTATATATATCGCATATAGAAGTGTACATATGTATGTACTACAGCTATTTTCTAGTAGCTAGTATATTCAAGGTCATCGAAAAATAAAACTAAAATAATGCATTTTATTGTTAACCGCAAAGACTAGCAAAACGAATAGCCGCTCTCTATATGTACAAATGCATTATATATATATATTTATTTAATTTTTTTTATTTTTTTTTTTTTGTTAGTTTCGTATCTGGTAAAAGATTGCGTGCAGTTAAGCGTTAGTATTGTTAAGAGACTAGACACTCATATAGATATAGATGGATTTTTTTCAATTAGATGCCTGTTATAAGCTTGTATTTATCTATATATAGCCATATATAGATTTCTTATTAATTAACCAATGCTTATAGCTTACAGGTTAAGGTTAAATTAAGTAATAATTACATTTTAAATACCCCTCAATAATCATAGCTATACCTAACAAAGGAGTTGAGCTTCAATGGTTTTTCCTCGGCGAGCCAAAGATTTAATACTTTTGTATACATTTCCCTTTTGCAGATATGTGACAATAGTGAAGCTCCCAATTTTGGAGTTTGATGAAAAATCTTGCAAAACGGAATACTTTGCCGTACAAGAATCTACTTTTCGATCGTTTGTTCCTATGACAGCTATATGATATAGTGGTTCGATTCGGCCGGCTCTGACATATGTACTGCCTTCAACAGAGAGACGCACCTATGCAAAGTTTAAAGATGAAAGTTTCAAAACTAAAAGACAAGTTCACATAGAAACAGACAGACAAACGGCTGTTGATACTGATTTAGAAGATATATACGTTATGGTTTCGGACATGTCTCCTTCTATGCGTTATTATTCCTCCAAGTTATTCCTTCGAATAATTTTTAAAAAATGTAAGACGAAAATTGAATTGTTACAATTGATTAAAATGCATATGACATAAGAAGAAAAGTTCGCCTAATAAGTATGAAAAAAGTATGGTATATATAAGAACAAGCATTGGATACAGGGTATCTTCCACTTGAGCACACTTGTTTACGTTGTCCTAAGTATTAAATACAGCGTATCTTGATTACGTTGTTATTTATTTGCACTTTTCAACGCGATTTTTTAGAATTTATTACAATCGATGTGAATACTAATGCGTTGATAACGATTTCCGATTTTTCCAAGTCAAAACAGTTTTATTATGCGTTAATTTGTTGTTTCACATCGCTATGCTAATTGCTAGCTGGTCGGAGTTTAATGATCTCCATCGTTCAGTTTATAAGCATGTAAATGCTGTGCGTTGCTCTAACTATTAGTTCAAGGCATTACAAGTTGTGTCAATAGCGGCAATAAACTCATAAATATCGCTTAAGAAGTTTCTGTGATGCTAACTAAATGATTTCATCGGGAATATTTCCCATTAATACAATTCGGTAAAGTATCTAAATCATTTTGTCTGAAATCTGGCAGAACAACCTACAAATATTAATTATATGTCTTTTGTAATATAATTCCATGCAGGACTTCAGACTTAAGCTATATTATCCTTCTTATTGGTGTAGATTGGATTTGAAGACCTAGCTTATCGCAGCGAATACCAATTAATGTCTCACCCATTGGATTTGCCTTCATCGACCTGGACACGCATGAAATTCAGCGCCAAGAGAAGTTTTTTAACATTTAAATGGGTCAGGCACGCACACATACGGCTAACTCCGAGGCGAAATCCAGATTTTAGCATACGCAGCATCTCAAAAGCAGAACCAACCGAGTCTATATACATATGTATACATACATAAATACACAACAATAACAAGAAGTGGGCAACAAACGATTCTTTGGCAAGTCAAAAAGAAGAAAAATCAATGTGGGAGTACGGCGAAAAAATACCCTATAAAACTATATGTTTTTGTGAAATATTAATCGATGTGTGGCGCATAGGGGAACTAATTTTGTATACCCTATACACTTATTTAGGCAGCTTTTGTATTGCTAGACCCGATTTGTGTGTATAGAGCATAGAGTATAGTATATATAGAGTATTTTTATAAGATAAATTAGGGTTAAGGTATAAGATATACAACTGATATACTAAGCCTGTGTGTTTAGTTATATTGAAAGAAAGTTTCTATCTAATTATTTACTAAACAGGTAGCACATAGAAATAATATATTGTCATATTTTAGTTGTGTACTAAGCATACCCGGCGTACATCTTGTCACAGGGTATAATTGTTGTAAAGAACTCGTCGAAGAAAGCAGCGACTGCCCTTGGCTCTGCCTCAGCCTTCCCGTCTCTCAGTTTTAGCAATTGCGCAGGCGCAGCGCTGCGGCAGCGTCTGTGGCAGAGGCGTTGGCGTCGTTGTTGTCTTTTGTTATACCCTAGCAGCGTGTTATGTACATATTCGATCTAATAATGTACTGCAATAGCAAAGTCTTTCAATCTAAGAGCTATCAATATTTCCCTTTACATATGTTCGCATTGTTGTTGTTGGCCCGATCGAACTTCTATATCATATAGATCGAACTGTATAGGTCGAAATATTAGTTTTTAATTGTTCTCAAATATTTAGTTTTCCATGATTTCTTGACCAAACTTGTCATTTACGAGCCTGTCTGCAAGGGTATTAAGTATTCGGCGTGCCGCAGCTCTTTCCTGTTTTTAAGTTTGTGTTTTTGTTTTGTTTTGGCATGGTACAAATCTTTCGACATGGTTAAGGTCATTTCTCTTATTTTGGCCTACATTAACATTATGCACATATCTTTGGGGGGGGTTTACTCGTTATTTTTACTGTACGCTTCTTCTTGAGCCCACAGCACAAACAACAACAACAACAAAAACAACGAGAATCGCAGAAAGAGTAGCTTAATTCGTTTA